ATATATGTATATGTATATATAAAATCTCACACATATCTTGAGACAGGGCCTAAGCCACTAAGTTGCCCAGATAGGCTTGACCCTGAGATCCTCCTGCCTCAGCCTCTGAGGGCTGGAATTAAGTCATTCACCACCACACTCAGCCGCCAGATCTTACGATGTAGTGAAAGACTTGGGGTCCAGCCCTGCCCCTCTGTCCCGGACCGACTTAGTGGGCCGAATTCTACAGACCCACCCTGTACCCTCTGAACCAAGAGTCCCACGTCCAGCCCTCATTCACGGGCTAATTAAGCCACGTCCTAACTGGCTTTGATTTAAAACCAGGGGGCAAGGAATCCAGCTCAGCTCTAAATGTTGGAGTTGGTGGCTGACGTGAGAGGATTTAGGAAAGGGCCTGCTGTGTGTGGGGGCAAAGGAGGTGCCCAGAAAGTTCTAATGTCTGGACGGAAGGGCGGGCTGCCAGTCACCGGAGGGGTGCAGGTCGGGACCACATTCCCTCTGGACCGGTGGGCAGGCAGCTTTGATCTGAGAGGGACTCGGTAGTGGTCACAACAAGGTGCTAAGAAGGGTGCGGGTGGTGCACACTTGTGATCCCAGCACTGGGGAGGCTGAGGCAGGAGGATTCCCAGGAACCTGAGGCCAGCCTGGGCTACAGAGTGAGCTCAAGGCCAGCCCGTGACCTTGTCTCAAAAAAAAAAAGAAAACAAAAGAAAAGCTGCTTAGGCCAAGACCTGATTAGTTCCCACTTTCGGTGCTAGGGATGGAACCTGGAGCCTTGCACAGACCAAGCACCCGCTCTGCCTGGGAGCGACATCTTCAGCTCTTTTTTATTTGGGGACAGCCTCTTGCTAAGCAGTCCAGGCTGGCCTACCTCAGCCTGCCGCACAGCTGCGATCTCAGGAGTGCACCACCGTGTTCTTAAGTGCACAATTCAGGAGGTCAGTGGACTTGCAGTATTGGGTAAGCTCACCACTATCTTTTCCAAAAGTTTTTCATCACCTCCAACAGAAACCACTTAGGCAATAACTCTCCACTGCCCCAACCTGGCCCCAAGTCACCTCTAACCTGCTCTGGGTCTCTACGCGTTTGCCGACTCCAGATATTTCATGGAGGGGATCCTACGAGAGAATGGTCCTTTGTGCCACTTAGCTCCTGTCATGTCACATCATATCTTCAAGGCTCACCTTCACATGTGGCATTTATGCTTTTTTCTGCCCAAGTAATATTCCACTACATGACTAGACCATACTGTTGTTATTACTAATATTTTTAGGTACCAAGGATCGAACTCTGGCAGCAACACCACTGAGCTAAATCCTTGGCCCTTTTTTCTTTTTCTTTTTTTAACTGAATTTATTGTTACATTCTAGGTAGAGAGTACATTCCTCTTTTCCCTTATTCCCCTTTCCCTATCCTTCTCACTGTCCCTACACCTCTGGTCCTTTTCTTCCTATTTCACATTCCTTTTTTCCATTTTTATTTTATTTGAGACAGGGTCTTGCTGAGTTACCCAGGCTGGGCTCAAACTTGTGATCCTTCTACCTCAGTCTCCCAGAGTGCTGGGATGACAGGTATATGCTACCACACCTAGTTTAATTTTCCCCTTTCCCTATCCTTCTCACTGTCCCTACACCTCTGGTCCTTTTCTTCCTATTTCACATTCCTTTTTTCCATTTTTATTTTATTTGAGACAGGGTCTTGCTGAGTTACCCAGGCTGGGCTCAAACTTGTGATCCTTCTACCTCAGTCTCCCAGAGTGCTGGGATGACAGGTATATGCTACCACACCTAGTTTAATTTAGGGTTTTGTTTTTTTTTAATACCGTGTATGAACTCACCACGTAGCTCAGGCTGTCCCTGAACTTGTGATCTTCCTGCCTCAGCCTGCTGAAGGCTGGGATCTGGCCCAAGGCTTGGCTGTTGTTATGGGCTGGGGGAGGAGGTATAGGCTGTGGATGCCTCTCCTCCCTTGAAGCGGTTTACAATCCCCCAGCGGACGTGAGATTTCCTTTACTTTATAAAAGTGGAGTGTGAACTAAACTAGGCAGCAAACCCTGCTCCTAAAGCAAATCAGATTTTAAAAAACTTTCAATAAAAAATTAGGTACCAGCCGGGCATGGTGGCGCACACTTGTAATCCCAGCACTTGGGAGGCTGAGGCAGGACTGTGAATTCGTGACCCAACTCCCTGAGCAATTTAGCAAGATCCTGTTTCAGAATAAAAAATAAAAAGGACCAGGAAGCTGGGGATGTAGCTCAGTGGTGCCACTGCCTGCCTTGCAAGTGCAAGGACCTGAATTCTTCCCTGGTATCACAAAAAATAAAAATAAAAATAAAATAAAATAAAAAGGACCAGGAATGTAGCTCAGTGCAAAGGCCCTGAGATTCAATCCCGAGCGCTGCAACACAAACCCAGGAATCAGTCAGGGAAGGTGAAGCGGGTGCTTGGAGAGCAACAGGATTGCAGTGGCTGAATCCTGGGTCCTCCCAGGGCCCTCACTTGGCTTCGGACAGGACCAGGCCGCCCATGCCTTGTCCCCGCATGTGCAGGAGCCTCGGTGAGCGTCTGTGGTCTGAACAAGGAACAACGGAGGAGCCGGGCAACGTGTGCCAGCCTGGGACCCACACCTGGAGGGCAGCCTGGCTTGCCTGGGTCACGGATGTATTTTCCTCTGGTTAGGGACGCGGGCAGTATGCTTCTCCAGCAGCATCTGGGATTCCATTAACAGATGTCACGAGCTGGGCGTGGATAGGCCCAGGGTCCCAGCTACTCAGGAGGCCGAGGCAGGAGGATTCCTTAAGCCTGTGAGATGCCACCTGAAGGGGGGGCAGAGAGAGAGAGAGCGCGTGCCCAAGTCCTCTCCTTGCCTGTCCTGCAAGGGGTCAGACTGGGCAGATGACCAAGTCAAAGGGGCTGGGGGTGTTGCTGTTGGGGTCACCAGTACACAACAGCAAGAGGAAAAAAAAAAAGTCAACAGGGGCGTGGGGGCAGGGTGTGATGAGGATGCAGTGCGTCCAGGCCACCACCGGGAGGCACTGCTTCTTCCGCAAGGGGACTCCACTTCCTGCAGTCTCCACAAAGTGACAGCTGCCCCTCAGATGAAAGGCACTGTTTAGCTATAAAAACACGCTCATGGAGAGCCAGGAGAGGACAGTGCATACCTTTAATCCCAGCCCTCTTGGGAGGCTGAGGCAGGAGGATGCCAAGTTCCAGTCCTTCCTGAACAATTCAGTGACTTAGTGAGATCCTGTCTCAGAATAAAGGGTTGGGGGTGAAGGCCCTGGTTTCAGTCCCCAGTACCACAAAAACAGAGGGAAAACAACAACCTGCTTGTGAAGGTCCAGACGGCCCCTGCTGTGGGCCAAGTGCCCTGCCCCGTGCTTGTGCCTTGCCCTGGTGAACCTGAAAGTGTGGCCGTTTGGGCACAGGGCCTGTCTTGAGGAGACTAAATTGGAACAAGGTTGTCAAGGTGGCCCTGGTCCAATGTGACTGTGCCCTTTGCGAAGCACCCTGGCTGGGCACGGAAGTTCACACCTGATATCAGAGCTCTGGGAGGCTGAGTCAGGAGGATCTCAAATTCAAGGACAGCCTGGGCATCTTAGCAATTTAGAGGGAGGCCCCTCAGTTAAGGGTTTGGAGGTGCAGTGCACACTGTTATAGCATTTTCCCGGCAGGTGAGAATTTGGTTTAACCTCCAGGGCTATGAAAAACAAGGAGAAACTGATCTGCAGTTTATAGATTATTTTGTATGTCAAGAGACATATTTGGAAAACAGGAGATTTGGGTTGTACATACTCTCAAAGCTGGATGTGGTGGTAGCAACTCCTGTAACCCCAGTACTTGGGAGGCTGAGGCAGGAGGATTGCTGTGAGTCTGAGGTCAGCCTGGGCTATAAACACAATGAGGTCAAGCCCAGCCTGGACTATACAGTGAGACCCTGTCTCGCAAAAACACAAATAACAACAAAGAAAAAATGCGAGTGTACGGCCTCACTTCTGTTACTTGCTAAGCACTTTGTTTTGGAATAGTCCCAGGTTTACAGGGAAGTTGCAGAGGGAGGAGAGAGGAATTCCCTCCAACCCCCACCCACCTCTCAAGTTCACATCTTACACGACTGCCCTGCACCTGTCAAAATTAACTAACAGTGGTATTTACTCCTAGCCTTAGACTTTTCTGGACTTTTTTCTTTTTGGGTACTGAGGATCGAACTCAGGACTTTGTACCTGTGAGGCAGGCGGCGGCACCACTGAGCTACATCCCCAGCCTGAGGCTTTTCTGGATTTTACCAGCTTTTCTACTTACCTCCTGTTGTTGTTCCTGGACCTCATCCAGGATACTAATCCGATGCTAATTAGTACATTTTCATTTTTTTAAACTTTTAGTGACAGGGATTTGAACCCCGGGCCTTCGCCACACTAAGCATGTGCTCCAGTACCGGGCTACACCACCCACCCTTTTTATTTTAAAATTATCAGATTAACCAGAAATTACAAAGTGTAGAGAGTCTATCACATCTTCCTCTACTCTTCTCAGCTGTGCCCCAAACCATGAAACCGACACCGGTACAAAGCACATTTTGGCGAACAGCTATGCAAATATACTTAAAATTCAAACAGAGATGGCTTTTATGAGTGTTTACCTGCTCACACATTTAACATAGCTCGGTCACTCCCGGTGCCTTGGCCCCGCTCTGCCTTACCTCTACTCTCCCCTGGTGCAGGCTGTCCCTGAAATCCCAGCCAGGCGATCCTCCTGCCTCAGCCTCCCGAGTACAGGATCACGGGTGGGCTCCACCGCACCCAGCTGGTTCCTTATTAGTGGGCACTTCTGCAGATGAGTCCTCTCCGAGGGGACACTTCCTCGTGTGTGCGCGCACACGTGTGTTGGTGTAATCAGAAGCCAGGCTGGAGAGAGAGAAGGTTCTGGCCAGTGGCTTCTCCAGGATCCACATGAAAAGCGGGTGAGGTCACAGCCAGAGCGCGGCCCCTTTAATCTGAAGCCCGGGCCTGAACTGCTGCTGTGGGGGAGGCAGACATTCTTTTCTTCTGCCCCAAACTGGCAAAAATGTCAAGACTGCAGCTCAGCCACCTTGTGGCTGCCTGGCAGAGCTCTCCTGAGGACGGGGCACGGGCGGTGGCTGTGGCCCGCATGCCAGGCATTGCAGTGCCCTGCTCCAGCCTACGCCCGGGCATAGCGAGCTGAACATCACCACAGAGGGGCCTCTCAGAGCTTCCAGCTGCTGTCCACGTAAGAAGGAGCAATTCCCAGCCGGGCGTGGTGACGCGCGCCTGCAAATCCAGCACTTGGGAGGCTGAGGCAGGAGGATCACTGTAAGCTCAAGGCCAGCCAGGGTTATAGAGTGAGATCCTGTCCCAAAGAACCAAAGGATGTGAGTTGCCCAGGCTGCCCTCTGACTTGGCATGCTCCTGCCTCAGCCTCCCGATCAGAGGTGTGCACCACCATGCCTAGCTCTCCTCCCCTAATCACCTACTTCTCTCTGGATTTCTGTTTCTTTCCCTGTAAGATGGTTAACGGCAGACTCTTGTTCATGATGGGGCACCTTCAGAATGCATAGCACAGAGCTCTGTACTCAGCAGGAGCCCCTCAGGGCTGGCTGTCATGATCCCAACCCCTCAGCACCCTAAAGAGGCTGCCAGAGCGGCTAGGGCTGGCATCCCCGGCTCACCCAGCAGCAAGGCGGAGCAGAGCTTCCAGCATCCCGGCGTCTGTGTTGGTCCGGGCGCCCCGGCTTCCTCTCTCCCGGCCCACATTGTGCAGCAGTTCTAGGGCAGTATACTTGCTGATTGCTTCCTGCACTGTTACTCACAACAACCAGCTAAGACACTGCCAAAGAAACACTCACAGCTGGCCGCTCCCCGAGCCCAGGAGCTGCGGGTAGGAAGGAGGCGGGGGAGGAGAGAGAGGCTGGAGCAGCCCAGCCTGGCTGGCGACAGGCCCAACCGGAGGGAAAGGGCTGGCACATCCTCGAAGAGGCCTGCTGACCCCTCATTTTGATACCCAGGAGGGAATCGAGAGAGGAAGCCGTCGACGCCTCCCATCTTGACACCTGCAGAGAAAGCTCTGCTGCAGAACCAGAACAGACAGGGACCAAAAACCACATTTCAGCCTGGCCCTGCAGGGTACACCTGTCAGCCCAGCATTCAGGAGGCTAAGGCAGGAGGGATGCTTGAGCCCAGGAGTTTGCGACCAGCCTGAGCAACGTAGCAAGACCCTGTCTCAATACGAAGCAAAAATCCGGGTATGGTGGCACACACCTGTGATCCCAGCACTTGGGAGGCTGAGGCAGGAGGGTCACCATGAGTTCCAGGCCAGCCTGAGCTACACAGCAAGACCCTGTCTCAAACTGCACCTTTCTCCCTGGAAAAAAATGTAGATATCACTGTTCCCGGGAAAGCTGGGGACTCCACCCACCGGAAGGGGAGACGGGCCTGAAACCTCCCCATCCCCAAAGGGCAATCCCCCGGGTGTCTGGCACACCCAGCAGGTCCCCCAACAGTGTGCGGCGGGCCCATGACTCACGGAAGACTGGGGAACAGGCTGTCCGCGGGCGAGACATGGGAAAGGCGCTGGACACAGGAAACAGGAACGGCGTACGGTGCTGCCGGGGACAGGCACAGGCAGGGGACTGCGGCCTTGTGGAGGGTGGGAAGGGAGTCGGGAGGAAGGACAGCACCCGGGGGCCTGGCTGCTGAGGACATCGTGGGGACAAAGTGAGTGAGAGCCAGAGAGAGGCCTGGGTCTCCGGCCTCAGCAAGGAGCTGCTTCCACAGCAGGGGCACTGGGGAGCCGTGGCGGGTTGTAGGGTCAGGCGTCTGCAGCATTGGTCTCAAAGTCCAGCTGGCTGTGTCGTGGGTCACAGAGAGAGGACCTCTCTGGCCTCGCTGCCTGATCTGTCCCCAGCACCCACCCTGTGCTTCCCCCCGGACCGTGAGTGTGGAGCTGGGCCACGTGAGGTCCTCACCTCGCTCTCTCCAGCTCAGCTTCCCCGGCAGCACGGCCGCAGGGTGGATGCTCCTGGGTGACCACTCAGCCCACCGTGGAGGCCGCTGGGACGCCTCCGACGCCAAGCTCCCGGGCTGGGCCAGACAACGAGGTCGCTGCAGGGCCCCCAGGTGAGGCCAGGCTCAGGCCAGGCTCAGGCCTCCTCTGGATCCTCAGGACAGCCAAGTGCAGAGTCTGTCCTGAGGGGAGGGGACAGTGCTGAGGACGGCCACGCGTGACTGGGCACCTCCGGGTCCACGGTGCCATTGAGTGAGATCAAGGAGAAATTGTCTGTCCTTGCGTTCACCCCAACCAGAAGATCTGGCTGGCGGCAGGAAGTGGGTTCAGGGGACCTCATGCAGACCACTTCCATCCAGGCTGGGGACAGGATGAGGTGAGCTTACCTTGGGCATGGTGTTCTTAAGAACAGGTCCTAAAAGACTAACTTGAAAGTTTTTGTCTTTTCCTTTTGATTTTTTTTTTTTTGAAACTCACTGTGTAGCCCAGGCTGGAGTCAAACTCATAGAGATCCTCCTGCCTCAGCCTCCCAAGTGCTGGGATTACAGACCCGCACCACCACGCCCGGCAACTTGGAAGTTCTGAATCTCAAAAATGAACGTCAGGTCGATGTCTCCTCACCAGGTTTATGAGCAGAGGCTGACATCCTTGTCCCCCTTCACCGTGAGTTCCAGGGGTTGGCTGTGCCCACCCAGGAGGAAGGAGGGAACTTTCACAGGAAGTCCTGGTGGGATGGAGACACTGCTGGTGCTCAGTGCTGCCTGCAGGCTGGGGGACCCCTCACCTTAGCACATCTCAGTACCCAGGGCGCCACAGTCTTCTTTTCCAGTTCCTAGCTGCCACTTTGGGAGAGGTTTACTAAAAAAAAAAATATAAATATAAATAAATAAAATAAA